GGCAAACCCTACACCAAAAATAGTGCCGACACCAAGACACCGAAGTGGTTAAAATTATCAGATAAAACAAGCTTAAGGGCTGTCTGGTAATTGATTTAAGCAGAATTTAACTTAAATCCATCTTACAGAAAAAAGGAAAAATTTTAAATCCTGGATTTAGTACTAATTTCTTCTCAATTCTTCTCAGGTTCCATCTTAAATCCCGGATTTACTAAATTCTGGTGTTGGCAGGATTTAGTAAATCTGAATTTACAAGATTTACTAATTTGTTAGAGCAGCCCTTAGTCTCCTAAGTTTAATTTAGAGTAGCAGCTAGGGTATAACTACCAATAAGATTTACAAGTCCTAAACTGCTTCGACTGGTATGGGCCAAGACTGGTATGTCAGCCTTCTTAAAGGTTTTGCATGCATCGTCCTATCTCAATTAATTTATTCTTGATAAAATACAAATGAGTACTGAAATAATTTATTTAGAGATGATTTACTTGTATGTGCTCGTCATCTATTTGTTTACTTCTTGCTAACATTGACGAACACCCTTCCTTATCTATGCCTGCAATATATTTTTGATCATTTACTTAAAGAACATGGCGCTTTCTCAATCCAACTTGTCATAGTATCATACCTTCCACCACATATAGTAATCTTACTTCTAATATTGGTGCAAGTATCTAGATCACACATGGCCTTAGGCTTCTAAAAAAGTAAAACTATAAGTTCAATGATGATGGCTGATCCCTATTTTTCCCATGAACTGCAAAACATTAGCTCATGAATTCCATGAAGTTTACGGTTTTTGTTTGAAGGAGCTTCGCTGTTTTTTTACTGTGAAGCTCCTTTAAAAGCTACGTCCACAGAACGGAGAAGGCCAGCTCCGATCTAAAACGAAGAAAAATTATCGTTCTTGCGAAACAACTTCGGGAGATGTTCAGGAGATGCCGCTTCACAAAACGAAAGCTTTTCCACACGTCGGCGTTCGCTGCAATGGATCGAAGCTCCACCGCCTTCTCGAACGAAACCTAAATCTCATTAAAAATTCAAGGAAGGAAAAATAAAAAAAAGTATACAAAAGAACTTTTTTTACTTAAAGAAAGGGTGCCAAAAATATTCATAAAAAAGTAAACATAAGTCTGCCATGAAAGAAAATGATTGTATGCAAAGAGAAATAAAAATAAACCTGCGGATCAGTGACAGAATGATAAAATGGAGATGCTGTATGGAAGACACCATCACACCCAGAAATTTCAGCATCAAAGGATCCCTCCTCTAATAAATTAGCTTTAAACAAATGAAGCCTCTCATTGGCTCCTTCAAGTGCTCTCAAATGTTCCGTTTTTCTCGGATCAGCTGAAGTATGTGAAACATGTGTAATAATATTCAGTAATCAAAATAAGAAAATAAATTCATAACCAGATCAACTGAAGTATATGAAACATATGTTTAACAATATTCAATACTCATAATGATAAAAAAATTATCTTCACCATAATTCATTAAAAGTAGGGTGGTGAATTTAGCTCGAAGATTGTTAACTGTTCGAAAATTGATTCAATTTTTGGCTCAGATTGAAATAAGAAAGCAGAGTTATGAGCCAAAATTTTGAATCGAATTTTTTCGAGCTGATTTTGAGTTGAGCTGGATTTCAAGCCGACCATAGCTTGGCTCGAAATCAGATTGTTAACAACCTTAGTGATGTCAGGGCTATGAATTTAGCGACTTGAGCTTAAATATCATTAATTGCTTGAAAGTTGATTCGAATTTTGGCTCGGATCGAGATCGGATCAAAAGAAATGAGCCAAAATTTTAGAATGAATTTTTTTCAAGCTGATTTTGAGCCAACCCCAGCTTCACTTGAAATCGAATTGTTAGCAGCCCTAATTAAAAGACTACAGAGAAGTAAAATCTGAAAACAGTTGCATATGTAGAATAAGGAAAGGCTTAATACAGATAAAGCCGCCAGGGGAAAAAAAAACAAGAAACAAGAAAAAATTATTATAGACATGCAAAGCGAATTTCCAAATGTTGCAATATGCTCCTCCCAAATCAAAAGCGTGCTTTCAAAACATTCACCATAGCTTTTCCCTTTCCATTAAGGCAAGACAGAACACGTAATTCATAGATGTCAAACTCTCCAAAAAATACGCCATTATTTTCTCCGATCTACTTATGAATAACTAGAAATCAACTGGACGATGATTTGCCCTCTTCCATTTATATAATCCCGGAAATTTTCTAACCTGACCCAAACTACTTCCGACCATCAATTTTTTTTTTCAGGCGCAATAAATTGCACAGAAACATTATATAATCAGCCATGTTTCGCTCATTAAAAAGGTTTCTTCTAAATTAGGGTTTAAGCGAGATGGAGATATCTAGAACACAGGAGGAAAAGAGAGAAAACAAACCGGGATCTCTCACTGAGGCTTTGACAGTATAGCCTCGTTGGAGAAGGAGCTTAACGAGCCACGAGGCGATGAAGCCGGAGGCTCCGGTAACGCAGACCAACTTCCCAGCTCCGCTCATTGTCAGTCTTCCGCCCTCTTCGAGCTTAGGTAAGTGGGTTGGCTCTTATATATAACAACGAGGAGGCATAACAACGTCAGGTCCTTCAAAATTTTGATATTTAGAGATTAAACATTCAGTTTTTTTTTTCTTTAACCGCGCGTGATTAAGCAAATTTTTTTTTGTGCGAATTCCTGACGTAGCTCTACGTGCGGCACAGGTTATTCCTGAGTCATTTTCAGTTTATTTCTGGATTATTTTAAATAATTTTGAAATAACTCAGAAATAACCCGCGGTGTTTATTTTTTTGTTATTTCTGGGTTATTTCGGGATTATTGAAAATAACCCAAAAATAACCTGAAAATAACTCAGGAATAAACTGCGCCGCATGTAGAGATACGTCAGGTATCCAGACAAAAAAATGCGGGTGTGATTAAGAGTGCATTTGGGCATCTTTTGCATTTCAGTATAAGTAGTTTATCCCGAAACCCGGCCCGCGGGTGTGTTTAGTGTAAAATTAGAACCGTGTTTTTGGATAAACAAACAAAACGTTTGATCTAAACAGTACTGCGACGTTTTCAAAAATGTCTCTGCACTTATAAGTTGCCCCAAATGTAGCATAAATTATTGAAACTTTTAAAAGAGAAGAAAAATATAAGTTGAAATTTTACCCTGAATTTTGATATTTGAGTGAGGATTTAAAAAAATTGATGAAAAAAATGATTGATTTGTAAATATCAAGTTTTGGATGGACTGTATGTAATTGTCCCCAAAGAGGACTTGCAGCGCCAGCCGGCGCGGAGTAACGTAGGCAATGACGGAAATGGGAAGCATAATAATAGATTTTAAAAATAAAAATTTAAATAAACTAATCTCGATAAAAACAATTAATTGAGCTTTTCATTTTAGATAAAACAGTTAATTAGATAAATATTTTAATCTTAAAATAATATTTTTTAAAAGTTTATTATTTTAAATAAATATTTATAAAATAAAATATTTTAAAAATTGTTATGTAAGTATTCAAAATCGTGTTAATTTTCCTTCTCCATCATCAAATAAAATCACTTGTTGAGCCAAAGATTTTGTTATAAATATATGTTGTTAAGATTATATTATAAAATTATAATTGGCTTCAACATAGGTTATGGGTTATAGCTTTATGGTGATTTTTTTTTTTTTTGAATTATGTTTGTTTAATTATTTTTTAAAAATATTTAATTTAACAAATAAATTTAAAATATATAAAATTTAATAAATATCATAATCTCAATTAAAAAATTTTAATGAAAATTATAAATTAATATTTTAATATAAGATTTTGCTTGATTAGGTGACCGGAGGAAAATCACTACATCAGTGGGCGATTTTGCGTGGCTGATATGACGATTTTGTCTATTTAAAATATTTTATTATTTTAACATTTATTTAAAATACTAATTTTATAAAAAATACTATTTTTAAAATTTTGTCTGATATTAATTATTTAATTTTTATTCATGGTAAAAGAAGCGAATGCCTTGCACTAGTTTTTCCGAGAAAAAATTAGATGAGATGATTCAAAATTTTGTTAATAATTTTTATTTAAATTGACTTTAGCATAAATAAAAAAAATTACATAAAAACCACACAATTCTTATATATTTACATATCTTACCTCTAACTATTTATATTTATATCTATTTCACTCAAAATTATAATATCACACCAAAAATATCAATATTATTTGCTTTTTAAAAGTAAAAAATATATGTTTATAATAATTTAGTGTATTAAATATAAGTATAAAAATTTGAGTATTAGATATGCAATTATATAATAATTAGGTGATATGTATGTAAATTTTTCATAAGATTTTGGATAAATTAAAAAAATTTATGTAATTTATAATTTATTTTAATAAAATTTTATTAAAATTCATAAAAAAACTATCAAAATTTAATGAGATTTTTGTTAATGATGAGTGATGTATCATAAAATGTATTATTTGAATAAAAAATTTGAGATTATGTGCTTTATAATAACAAAAAAGTATATATATATGCTCATCAATTATTTTATTTGAGAAATAGGACTAAAAGTTTTCTTAGGACTAAAGGCATGTTTATTTTTCAAATTATCGGCTCACTTTTTGAATCGGATTCATTGAAAGCGTGTTTGTTTTGCACACTTTCATCAATTGCAATTTAAAATCATGGTCACAATTACGCTTAAGCACCACAGCAGAATCAATCCCACATTCAGACACTTTGCCTGCGGGAATCCCTTTTGGCAAGACAAAATATCCCTTCTCGTACATAGACTAATTAGCAAAGCTTTTTGTGAAAGAAATTGTTTCGAGTTTATCCCATATCTTAAATATGAAGTTTTTACAAGATTGATGAGAAAAAAGAGAATAAAGATTAATTAGTACAGATGTCTAAAATCTTATTAAAATGATTTGTCCGATGTGAACATACGTATGAGATAATATTACGTGTTTTGTTATAATATATCTGAACTTCATGTACAAAAAAGTTGTAAATGTTATACAATAATCTATATGACATGTACAACCTCATTATATGAATTTCAGATGTTATAATATATATGAACTTCATGTACAAAAAAGTTAACATGTTTTAATATATCTGAACTTCATGTACAATCGTACATGAATTTCAGATGCATCAGAACAAAACACATAAGAATTTTTCCATGACTAGTATCATTTGTCTGCTCCCAACATTCACTAATGAGCTGATAATGGTGGCTTTGCAGGGGCAAACCAACATTGTTTTTAAGGGCAGGTATTACCCCCCTGGAAATAACATGGTTCTGCCTCTGGGACGAGCTATACGTGAAGGAGAGAAAGGGTGTCCCTATGGGGGGGCCTTTCAAGTATTTTTATTTAAGTCATCTTTCGAATATCTTATGTATATATTCATATTTCCATATATAGTACTCAAATTATAAACATCACATAAAAAATATTTCTATTAATAACTTTTTAAGAATGGAAACTACCTTCTCATGCATCAATATATCACACATAAGTATTATAAATGTAAATACCAAACTTACGCCTCATATATGCAAATATATGAGAACCGTGTGGTGTGCATGTAAATTTCCCTTTCTCTTTGTCATGTAACTTTGAGTTCTCATTTAGATAATTTTACTTATTTTATATTCTAAATATAATTTTTGAAAATTGAATAATTAAAAATAGTCCAAATCAAAATTTAAAATAAATCATGAAAGCAATAAATTTATCAAAATGGATATTAAAATATACAAATTATAAAGCGATTGAAAATGAAAGACGAACTAATCTTGAAATTTTGTAGAGAATAACATCAAAGGAAACAACGAATGCTACTTTAACAATTATATCAAATTAGTGTCAAATAAATAAACAATCATCCTATTTTCGAAAGTTTTGTCTTTTATATGAGAAATATTTGCGTGCGTAAGACGGACGCAGAGTTGCGTACATATTAGGTTATTCGAGGGTTACATGTAGGTGTAGTGCAGAGTAAGTGTAACCTACATGTACCCTTCGAATAACCTAATATGTACGCAACTCTGCGTACGTCTTATGCACGCAAATATTTCTCCTTTTATATTGTCCCGAACTCTTGGAATAGTGTTCAAAATTTTTTTAAAAAAGATATAATTTTGTTGTTTATGAATTGTCTAATTTTGCTAAGAATTGACGAATTTCATACTTAATTAAATCTATTTTATAAAAACAAAAATGCCGAGTCAACTTTGACACTATTTAATTTATATTATAAGCGAAGGGTAATTTAGCTATGGGGCATTTACATACATAGCACCCAATTCACATATATTTACATCTCTAACATCTAAATTTTATATCACCATCCAAATGTTTCATATCACACATAATATATCGCCATTTTTGGATACAATAATATATATGAAAATTTTAACTGTATTTTATCTAGTAAAATCGAGCCCACATGTCAAAGTGGTTGAATTGAGCTCACATGTCAAAGTGGTTGAATCGAGCCCTCATGCCGAAGTGGCTGAATCGAGACCGTCTGCCTAAGAAATTGGTCCAGCTTATCGTCATCTTTCTCAAAAAGGTGTATGAGACATTCCCGGTAAAGATAACTATTCAAGAAAGCCAACATAACCAACCAGAACATCAGTCAATTTTTCATTTAAAGACATCGCTAGACACTGAGATTCAATCACATCGCCCAGACATCGAGAATGGCAGTCGTACCGGCAATATTTTACATTAGCCGGCAGAGAAAAGTCAACAATATAGTCATTGATATCATACATTCACAATTTTAGATTATTCTCTATCGCGTGTATAAGAAAAACTAAAAAGAAGAACAATAAGAGATCCCTCTCTCATTTCTCCCTCTTCAGCTCTAAAGAAATCTCCGAAGAGTCACATTTCTCTGATATGTCATAAATTAATATTGTCGTCAAAGTTTCCTACAAGAATCTCTTTCATCTAATAAAATTCTTCCCAAAAGTTGTATGTTCTCACGAACAATATGAGACCCTATGTCTTAAAAGAATACAAAATTTTCAATTTTTTAAAAGTGAAATACTTATTTTTCCTTCATAACGTGACAAATATATAAAAATTAAATTTTAGGCAATATATATGTAAATAGATAAGAATGAGTTTAAATTTATATAATAATTTTTTGTCTACACGCAATTTATTATTTTGGGCATCCTAATGTCGGCAACAATAATTAGTGAAACTCATCAAAATATAGGCAATTTTGACCAGACTACATTATAACTCAGTAAAGGCATGGTCGAATCAACATGTATGAGTGCGTCCTCAAATAGATTGGATTGAATATGTGGTTCATGGATTTGGCCGTCGGTCCATTGGATTGTTTGGATGTAATAATAATAATAATATTATTATTTAACCAAATAATTTGATAAAAATATTTGTTTACAATCAGACTTTGTGGTCCATTAGATTGTTTGGGTAACATTTGAAGGAGGGCTCCGACGGTCGACTTTTTAGCAAATAAAAAAATACCAAAGACTAAGCTGTCCTATACTGCCCTCTTAAAGCAAGAGAAATATTGTAATTTTTTTTTTGGTCTTTCTATCATCTTTAAATAGGATGACCTTTTTTTTATGTAAATAGACCCTCTTTTAGCTCCCCTCACTTGTAATGAACGGTTTGATGGAATAAAATGGGCCAACGGGTACTCTGATTCGTCCCCAAGGGGAGCACGTGTTCTTCTTCTCTCAGTCCCACGCTCTATTTCTTAGGCACAGTCCACCCGACGGATTTGGATTCAACAATATTATTATTTTTCTAACCAAAAACTTTGATAAAATATTTTCATAAAATTAGACTTACTAAGGGTGATAAGTTGTAAGAAAGTTATTGTCTATTTGTTTAATCACATGAATGATCGTCGTGGGTCAATGGGATATTAGCAAGTCCTATGGAACCAGACAACTGATTTTTCCAAAGCACAATTGTCGCGTACTAGTTGTCGGGTTGACTTGCCAGGTTGATTTACCGAACTTACCTAACAAGTGGTAGTTGCCACATACTGTCGATTTGACCTATTGCATTCACCTTACGAGTATTAGTTTACTACATACCATTGTCGAGTCTACCTACTAGGTCGACCTTGGGGTGTGAATGAGTCAAGTCAAGCTCAAGTCGTGACAAGCTCAAACTCCGCTCGTCTCATTTGTCATATTGTCAGCTTGAGCTCCACTCGTTGTGGTATCAACCGACTCATGAGCTCAAACCAAAAATTTTAATTTTATGGAAGCTCACCAAAGAAGATTTTGGCGGCCAGAGGATTAGGAAGATTCGACAGTAGCTCAATGAAAAATGTATCAAAATGACTAATGGTTGACTAATCTAGCAAGCTAGTGAGACAGCTCGTCGAGCCCAAACAAGCTCTAGTTCGTATAATATACGAGCTCAAGTTTGAGCTCGAGCTAGTGGCTCGATAAACTCGGCTCATGAGCTCATTAATGAGTCGAGCTTGAGCGGGCCATACTCATTTACACCTCTTGGTTGCCCTGTCAAACTTACATCCTTAGAACCCTTTGTTGAGTAGCCACTGCTCAATATCAGCTACTAACAAGGAGAGGACATATGTCTATATCTAATTATGGTCATATTGCATATAAATCATCACAATATGACATCCATATACAGCGTGGACATATATCAAGTCGTACTAAATCCATTTAAGTCATTTTCTTTGTAACATAATGAGAAAGAAAAGCATCATTTTGAGCATTATAAATAGAGATAATATCTCACATTTCAAGGAGGCTCCTTAATTTTTAAATTATGGTTTTTTCCTGGGCTAAAATGCCTGATTCAAGCTCTTTGCGAAGTCATTTTTCATTCCACTGTTTCTACCTTCTTCATGTGTCAAACGTAGATTTTGTGAAGCAATGAACAGTTCCTATTCCAATGATCGAAAAGGATGTAACGGTTTGCTTAAATAAATAAATTATATTTAAACATTATTTTTGGAAAAAAAAATGTTACATCAGTACTCCACACGTAGAAGTAACGTGCGTAGCCAATGAAATCACGTCACGACATATCACACGACAGGGAAAAAAAAACGGCACAGTAACACGGGGAATATTCCCCCTTGTGTTATTCATGTGCTATTGCGTGTTATTCATGTGTTTTTGCGTGTTATTCATGTGTTATTGATGTGTTATTGTGTTATTATAGCACTAAGAATATTCTCAGGACACAATAACAAATGAATAACACACAATAACGCCTGAATAACACGGAGAATATTCCCGACAGAGGAAAAAACGACGCAATAACACGGGGGAATATTCTCCCCCGTGTTATTCATGTGTTATTATGTGTTATTCATGTGTTATTGACGTGTTATTGTATTATTATAACACTAGGAATATTCACAATACACAATAACACGTGAATAATACACAATAACACATGAATAACACAGGGGGAATATTTCTCATGTTACTGCGCCGCTTTTTTTTCTGTCGCGCGGGATGTTGTGGCGTGATTTCATTGGCTATGCACATTACTCTACGTGCGTAGTACTGATGTAATATTTTTTCTTGTTTTTGGCAGTTCGGCGAGTTCAATTCTCTTCATGTAATTCCAAGAGAGCTCTGACTAACCATAGCTCAACTCACATAGTTGGGAGTCCAGTGGTAAGTTCACCTTGGAATCTCGGGAACCAAATTTTAATATGGGATAGGACTTCGCTCAATTCTTGGGTGTATTGTGGGGCTCACTTCGGAAACCTAAGCTAAAACCAAACCAAATTTAAAATTGCAAATAAAACTACACTTAAAAAGTAGTTAAGCCCAACCACATTTAAACTATAACTAATTCAAATATAAACCAAAACCTAAAATTGAAACATTAGTCTAAATTATCTCCAAATGAAATTTAATCTAAAATAAATCACATTCATTACAAGACTGAAGTTAAAAATAAGTCAACCTAAACTGAACTCAAGTTAAAGCTAGATCCGGCTTTAGTTAACCAAAATTTGACTTAAATTAAACTTAAAATAAATCTGGATTGAACTTCAGACTAACTCAAGTTCACCTAGCTTGAAACAAATTAGCTTGAGTTATCTTAAGCTAAAACAAAAGCCAATTTTTTTTTTTATTTTTTTTAAGAATGGCCGAAGGCTATTATACGAGCTCCCATCATCTCTCATGTGCCTAAGAATTCGAGTACCACACCCTAAACTCGAGGGGAATTGAACCGCATATCAGAGGGCACTTACAACTGACAAGTAGATGTCCGACCAACTGATCTGAGTAAGCGACGCATCAAAAGCCAAACTTAAAACTAAACATAAACACCAATTTCACTTGGTCTGAACCTAAATTAAAATTAAACAAATTTAGCATAATTTGAACTATCAAAATTGAAGTTAAAATTAACTTAATTTGAACTAACATCTGATTAAACCTAATCACAAACTAAATTTAATCAAAACCTAAGTTTAGATCCAAGAGTAGAACCTAACACACCTTAATTTAAACTTGAAATTAAATTAAAATCACTTAAATCTAAGCATAAAATCTAAACAAAATCCCAAATCTAGATAATCTAAATTAAAAGCTAAACTAAACCTAAATTAAATTTAAACACAATCTAATTTGAACTAAAAGTAATCTAAGCATAGCCTGAATCTAAATTCAATTTAAAAAGAAAGTTACGCTAAAAATTAATTAAATATATAAATTAAATCAACGACGAAATAAAATCTTTCATAAGCACTCATTATTATTTTTTTTTAAATTTTCATTGTTTAACTTTCTTCGTAAATCTCATCTTTTTTATTCCCTCTCATTTTCAGATCATTTCTATGATTTATTTGAAAAAGAGAATTATACGACAATAAGACAAGTTCAAGACTCTAAGTCTTTTTAAAAAGATCCTAAAACAACATATTTATTGTTCAATTATACCACAAATAGAGTTCATGCATAGATAAGATTAAAAAAATATTCAATTATAATTCTAAGAAGCTTTCAGTATAATACAAACATGTATAATATATTCAATGAAGAAAACTAAAGTATATGAATGACATTGCATTATTTTACCTTTAAAAAATGTATGAAATATATAGTCAAATGATAAAAAAAGATAATTACATATATAGCACTTGAAACATTGCAATTTATAAAACTAACACACTCTTTGATCAATTTTTCAAATTCTCACTCAAATATCAATTCACAATTAAAAACCCAACCTATAATTTTCATTTAAATGAAATTCCATAAGGCTTGATTGTGACACACATAAATGCATTATTTCTATAGTTAAAAAAATAGCCTTTGTGCTAATTTTTTAAATAACAATATTGCAAGTTGGATGTAATTACTTATACCTAAAAAAAAAACATACATACATACCACTTAATTTATATGTATTTACATATCAAATTACTTTACCTATACATGAAAAAAATGTGAATTTTACTTTTTAAAAATAAAAATGGTGATATAGTACTGAACTATTGGGTCAGGTTATAGAGGGGCGTCCTTTCATCTGGTCGACCCATTATTGAGCTCAGCAAACTTCTAACATAACATCATTAGGGCTCAACATCTTTTCGATATTTTTGATCTGATATAAAAATATACAATTTAGTTTAGATATAAATAAAAAATTTAAAATTTAGAGCTTTAATATGTAAATAATCAGAATTGGGTGGCATGTATATAAATGACATTAAGAAAAGAAAAGAAATTTATAAATTGACCAAACAATTCTTTTATAAATAGTATCTAACCCATAAACTTTAATATTTATGTTCATAACATTCAAATTTCTAACACAACATAAAAATATGAAAAAATATTACCTCAGAGTATTGATGCATCAGTACTCCAATGAGAATGTGCCACGTATATAATGATCTCACTATAATGTCACATGACAACTCCTCATTGAAATACTGATGTATGAGTACTTCTCAATAATATTTTTCTAAAAATATCGCTTTACTAATTTTTTCAAAAATCAAATGCAACTTTTTTCGTACATTTGTTTATACTACCGAGGTGGTATAAATATAAATATTAACTTTTAGGAAATGTACATGATATGACCCTAAATTGACACATGGTTTTTCGGATACTTGGATCTTGTTGACCTAGAAAGTTTCTCGAGGTCATAGTTCCCCGGCGGCGGAAAACGAAGGGCGCTCGCTCCGATTGACAGGCGGCGACAAGGATGAATCCCTTCGATTCCAGATACGCCGATCCATATTCTTACAGAGACAGAAGAAGGTCTAATCTGCTCGCTCTCCTTCCACCTTGTTTTCCATAGAACTGATATGATTTTCTCTTCTAATTGTTTGTAGATATCCGCTTAACCTAGATTCTGTGTTGCAGCGACTTGCTCCAAGCACCTCCGCTCACTGCTACTCCAGTGAACCCTGCCGGTTTTCATGGTGCGTTCTATCCTCCTCGCAGTCAACCTTTCCCAGGCGGCGGTTCATATCCACCTTTTCAACCTCCCCATAGTGGCGTCCTTGGAGGAGGACGGGGGAGAGAAGTTGATTCTGGGAGGGGAGGTGGCAGAGGGCATGAGTTTGGCGGCCGTGGCAGAGGGCGTGAATTTGGGGGACGGGGCAGAGGGTCTGAGTTTGGGGGCCGGGGCAGAGGGTCTGAGTTTGGGGGCCGGGGCAGAGGTGGTGGCGGCGGCAGGGGCGTTGAGGTTTATCGGCAGAGGGTCTGAGTTTGGGGGCCGGGGCAGAGGGTCTGAGTTTGGGGGCCGGGGCAGAGGTGGTGGCGGAGGCAGGGGTGTTGAAGTTTATCGGGGAGCTAGAGCTGGAGGAAGAGGAGGAACTGGGGGAAGAGGAGGAGGTAGGGACTTTAGTACCAAGTGGCGTGGTGAGCGTGTTGGTCGTGATTTTAGTAGTGATGGGAGAGATTTTAGCAAGCCTAGTGATGATCTGGACAACATTGTGCTACCAAAGCAGGACTTTCATGGGCTCATTCCGTTTGAGAAGAACTTCTATGTGGAGAGCCCTTCTGTTCAGGCCATGTCGGAGCAGGACGTGATACTCTACCGCAAGAGGCGGGATATAACTGTTGAAGGGTATGATATCCCTAAACCTGTCAGGTTCTTCGAGGAAGCTAACTTTCCAGGTATCTCTTTTTAATCTCTTTCTATGATTCAGTTGGTCTTGGACCCAATATTCCTCTGGCAATTCGCATTACACTTTTTTTAGTAATGTTCAGCTCATGAAACATTGGGTTGCAGCAAGCATCATTTTGTAAAATATTTTAAAGACTATTGCGTAAGTGGGGTGTTTTATCTATCACAGGGTGGGGATTATCTTTATAATCTTGTATATTTGATATTTCTTGGATAAACGCACTGATTAAAAAACTCAAACATATGTAGAAAAGTTGAAATGAATTCCAAAATTCAAAGTTTGTAGTCATTTCGTTTATAAATCTTTGTAGCCTTGTAGTCAATTAAATTTTTTAAAAATACTACTCATCAAATATATATATATATATATATATAATTGATTAGTAGTATTTCGAGTCAAATCGAGCCGAACACTTTCGTTCGTGTTCGGCTCGTTAACTTAGTGAACAAGCCGAACACGTGCTTCTTAAAGAGCCAAACATGAGCTGTTCGCGAACAACGAGCCATATTGACAACCCTAATTAGAAGGTTATTGGGGTTATATGTTATTGAAATCAATACCTTAATAACTTCCTAATAATCACGAAGCAAAAGTTATTATGCACGTAGCACTGTGTGCATTGTCCGTATGCAAATAGTTCCCCTTCATTAGAGCCACTATCGTAATAAATAATTTTTGCCCTTCCTGATTTTTTAGTTGATTCTAAGCTCTTTCATTCTTCTTCATCTTTTCCAACCTCAGCCATCTTTTTCTTATCATTAAAAAATTAGAGTATTAATTAAATTTTAAGAGAATATTAAATACTTTATATATATATATTTTGTGATGGATTTGCTAGTTTTGTTTCTGTCTCTATCAGAGAAATTTACATTCATATCTTTTTGCTATAATCATATAATTTAAACCCTTTATGAACATCTATAGTTCACTTGTCCTTTGATGACATATATTCACATAATAGAGGGCTCGCCATTCCTTAAAAAAATTATCTTCAAATTTCCTCTTATTTAATCTATTGTTATACATTATGTACACCACAGAATTCATTCTTGAACTTAATTTTATGTGTAATATTTGCAATTGCATTCAGATGATAACCATGTAAGATATATTACTTTAACAATAAATGTTATAGCTCTAGATTGTCATCACCAAATTATAGGACTTAATTGAGTGAGCAATCAATCTATCAATGCAATGGCATAACCTCAATTTGATCTCAAAATTAGTAGATTTGTTCATAGTATATTGAAATTGAGAGTTGAGAACACATCCAACAACACGTAAATGTTGCTGAAGTTGGTTCTTTCATTTTTCATCAGTGATATTCTAAATCTTTCTATAATTGATCTATTTTTTCCCCAAGTTATGGGCTATTAACTCTTTGGCCTCATCCGTTGCATTATAAATAAAACTCATAGTTGGTTTTTTTCTGCATCTGCCATTTTCAAAATTTGAATTAGTGACCTTGTAATTTTTATTGCATATGTGACACAAGAACAAAACCTTTTATTCAAAATAATCTTTTTAACCTGTTTTCCCTCAGTTTTCTTTGGCTATGTGCGGTTAAGTTATCCAGTAGAAGTGAATATTACTTTCAATGATTGCCTAGCTTCAACATGTTTTATATAGTCAAAAAAGCTGTAGCAAATTTTGTTGTAGTAGGACATAATACCCATGAATTGTAATTTTTATTGCATATGTGACACAAGACCAAAACCTTTTTTTCAAAATAATTCTTTTAACTTGTTCCCCCTCAGTTTTCTTTGGCTATGTGCAGTTAAGTTATTGGGTAGAAGTGAATATTGCTTTCAATGTTTTATATAGTCAAAAAAGCTGTAGCAAATATTGTTGTAGTAGGATAGTTCTTTTTTAGAAAAGTTTCTCAACAAACATAATACCCATGAATTGTTATGAATGAATTTACTAATCGTTTTTGCTTTGATCATGACATTTTATGCTGTAGCAATTCAGTTTCTTTAAAATCAAGTTTTTTCCTTGTGTAGCATATGGTGTTTGTTATATGTATTTTCTCTTTTTAATCTTTATTTTTTTTGTCCTATATGTACTAGCTATATATGTCACAATCTGGATCATTAAATGTTTCTAATCTCTTCAATTACTCCATAAAAAATTCCTAAAATATACACTGCATCTTTCACTCGATCAAATTCTTCTATAGATTTTAAAAATATAGTGTCATGAATTATACTTTATAATTTTTATCAACCTTCTCTTTATCAAATATAATTGATATTCCAATATGGCTCTTATGTCATTTTGACATCTTTTATGTTTTTCTCTATATTACTTAGCTACTTCTTTAGCACCCTTGTCAAATCATGCATAGAGGAGGATTTCAAACATCTATCTTAAACACCTTTGAAACGAATCATATTAAAATAAGAATGGAATTTGTCACATTGAATGGAATGAAATTCTCATAAAAAATTCTCAATCTCTATGTAGACATGTTTGTGTGCCTCTCTAATATGTTTTGGATATATCTTCTAAGTTGTAGCTATAGCTGTACCCTCTCCACTAGCTCTCTCATTCCCCACATTTATCATATAATGATCTTGGAGATCTTTTGTATCTCTATTAGACATTGTTTGTAAATATGATGAGTTTTTGGCACTGCACTCACTCCCATAGTAAGAACTGACATCAATTTTGTCATTAAATTTTCGTTGTACCATATGCTTTTATATCATTGACTTTTGATTACTTTTGGCTCTTTAGTACAAAACACAACATTTTTATATGATCCGAATAGGTGTTCCTTCATACTTGTAAAATCGCATTGAACTATGTTCTCACAATAATTGCATTTCAAATAAACATGATTATTATTGCCTCAATATTGACCCGCACTTGCCCCAATATTGACTTGCACACTATATAGTCGACATAAACGTTATGTGAATTTCTCATCATCTTTAACTATTTCTTTCAAAACCTTAAAATGAAAGTTTGTTTCAAAATTTAAATAAATTTGAATTCATAAAAATATTCAAAGTAAATTAAAAAAATAGTTTAAAGTTTTAGAAACATTAAAATTTTATGAAACGTGAAAGAGCACTATGAGTGAGGAGGAGGGGGTGGAAATGATGACAACAACAATGTTTGCGGCAAAAACAGGCAGCGATGATAGTGATAATAGGTTGTGGCGGCAATAGGAGCAGCCAGTGGCGATGGTTATGGCCGAAGCAGCGAACAGCAGAGTTGGGAAGGTCAACTGTTATGTTATCGTGAGAGGGAGAGGGGAGGTCTTGCATGAGGTGTGAGCCAAATGTTTGTTGTGGATTCATTTTGAAGTCGAATCATCTAGTATAGGGAAATAAAATTCTAAACAAATGAGGTGCACACCTCACCAAATATGAGGTGTCCCATCACCCGAGCTGTTAGAGGCTTGCACCTCAATGTATTTTTCTTCTTAATTGCCCTAATGCTTGCGTGATATTGTACAATTTTAAATATTGCTCAAAGTCATCTTTTAAGAAAATTTTCAGATAAAGTGATATTGCTCTTTGAAAGACCTTTGTGAATACCTTGCTTTAGAGGATACTTTTGCAAGCCTTGCCACAATCTTCAATTGAAGAGTTTTCCTCGTGAACCCAAATGCCAGTGACTATTCAGGATTGTTGGCTATTCAATCACCATAGGATATTCATAATGATACTCTGAAAAACTAACTAGTTGGAAGGATATGTCTATAACTGAAGAGAGATAACTTAGTAATTTTTCTTTTAAATTTACAGCACTAGTTTAACTAATCTTAGTTCTTAACATATTTGTTCCCGGGTAAGGATGGTAAACACACTTGAACCATTCATCTGTTTCATCCTGTTGGGGTGGAAACTTTTCATTTAGTACCTCTTGTGAGCCTATCTTTATCGGACAAGTTGAACAAAGCACTATGTTTTCATGGTTGACCAAGCAATTCCTGCTTTTTATGGTATTTTTGAGCATGTCTGCGAGGAATAATTTTTGGAACCTTTTAGTTCTTTGCGGACCCCTATCATGGCTATGTTTTTGTATTAACTTGTAAACTGAATGGGAAGCGCCCTCTTGATTAAATTACTTGTTAATCTGTTTTTCCAAATATAAGAAGTTGCAATACGACATACATTAAAAGCAGCAAAACTTTAAATTGAGTTTTTATTTGACAAATTGCAAATCTCTTGACGTTTGTTTTCATGTATGATACAATTATAATGATGATGTGATTTTTTACCAAGTATATGTGCATGATGTACTTTGTTTTGCTGTTTGGTAAATTCAACAGTGCTTATGATTACCCATTCCTAAGACTAAGCACATCAAAAAACAAGTATTATTTTAGAACAAGTATTCTATTTTCAAAACTCAATGCTTAACCTGCGCAAATCTTTGTGTTTGGTTGTATCAACATTTGGCCCACTATTTCATTTTATGATGCCTGTCATTCGAGGCTTTTCTATTAGATACTTTAACACTTCTATTTATGAAAGCATTTTTTATTATAAATATGGGGGCATTTACATACAAATCACCCAATTCTTATGTATTTATGTATCTAACATTTAAACATTAATTGTTATATTTATACCGCCCAAATCTTTCATATCACATAAAAAAAAATAGCACCATTTTAATTTAAAAAAAAGTGAAATTTACCTTTTCATGCATAGGGAAGTGGCATGTATGTAAAAATTGAATTTTAGGTGTTCTGCATGTAAATACAAAAGAATTGAGTGGTATGTATGTAAATCTTCCTATAAATATTTAGAAACATTTCACATTTGGGATTGATTGGAAAGATTGATCAGGCGACCTTGATATATTTACTTCCATTGGTTGCTGAGAAGTGTTCATTTCTCCTTTGTCTGATCAATTTCTTATGATGTAGCAGATTATTGCCTCCAAGTGATGACAAAATGTGGTTTTGTTGAGCCTACACCTATTCAATCTCAAGGTTGGCCCATGGCATTGAAGGGGAGAGACTTAATTGGTATTGCAGAGACTGGTTCAGGGAAAACACTGGCTTATCTTCTGCCAGCATTGGTTCATGTTAAAGCTCAACCTCGATTGGGTTAGTTTACCATGCTTAAATTACACATTTTGTTCTTTTACTTAAGGTGAATAAGCTGAAGCGTGTGAAATCCAATTTCTTACATTCACAGCTAACGGTGAAGGTCCTATTGTTTTGGTTCTTGCCCCGACAAGAGAACTAGCTGTTCAGATACAAGAAGAAGCTGCAAAGTTTGGTTCAAATTCAAATGTTAGAAGCACATGTATCTATGGAGGAGCACCGAAAGGGCCACAAATTCGTGATTTGAAAAGAGGTTATAGTTTGATTTGAATTTGTTTTATGCAACATAGCACACAATTCTTTTGTATTTACATAGCTCATACTAAAATTTCATAATTACACAAAGCACTCAAATCTTTAATATCACATAAAAATAGCACTATTATCACCTTTTAAAATTGAATAACACCTTTTCATGCATACGTTTAAAGAGCCAAAGTGTATACATGTAAATATGGAAGTTTACGTGAGAGATATTTAAATGCATAAGAATTGTGTGTTATGTATGTAAATTTTCTGTTTTTTTTTTAATATTAAGTATCCAGTTAGAACCTTTTAGATGTGGTTATTAAATTTCTTGTAGGAGTTGAGATTGTAATTGCAACACCTGGTAGATTGATTGATATGCTGGAAGCTTGCCACACAAATCTGCGTAGAGTTACCTACCTTGTACTAGATGAGGCAGATCGCATGTTGGACATGGGATTTGAACCGCAGATAAGAAAGATTATCTCACAGGTATTATTGGCTTGTATTTTCAGTTTTGTTTGACGCAGATTTTGTTTCTTTCTTACTGAAAACTATTTGTTAAAACCGTTTTGTCTTGATATGGAATTATCAGAAGCAGAACTATTTTCATTAGATATTTTTTTGTTTGGAATGGTTTACATCATGTGTTCTGTTGCATGAAACTTTCAACTTCAACGAAAGTTTTATTGTTGGCGAATTAAAATTCATGTTGCATGAAGAACTAAAATATTATATGAAGCGTAAATTAAGCCTAATATCTGTTCCATTTCTATGAAATGTAATACTGAAAGCAGTGTTGTAGAAAGCGTTAGACGCCCTTAATGCTAGATGGTTGATGGAAAGTTTCTAGGGGCTATTTTAGGCACTCGTTCATTGGAAATGAGATGCTAGAAGTAAGAAATATTTATATCTTTTAACAATCTTATTAATTAAAAGCAATTCTTGTAAAAGGTACAAAACAATAATCTCAAGATTGAACTGTAGAGCAAAATGATTGATTTTCATGTTCTATTCCATTCCAAACTTGAATATCTTAAAAAAGCTGAGTTAAGCTCCCAACTTTGTTGTATCTATTCCTTTCTCATCATGAATTCTCTCTTGTTCGTTTTAATTAGGAGACCATTATATCATTCTCTTTTTTTTTTTTTTTGGTTCTCATCCTCTTCATTCTCACTATTTCCATCTTCATAAGTTAAGGCCTCTTGCACATCTTCAATATTTTCTTATATTGCTTGTTTTTTTTTTATTGCATGTTCTGTGCTTGTTGGATTGTCACTTTCACTCACTTTCTTTTGTGCTGCTGTTTCATAGTATTTCAGTGTTTTGGCTCGATAGATGTTTGCTCTGTTCCAGAAATTAGTCTATGTATATATTTTTGACGGTTTCATATTTTGCTTTATTAACGTTTGTTTGCTTGCTGTTCTTCAAACTCCTTTGGTCCATTTGCTGAATCTTGTGTTGCGTTTTGTTTTATTCCGCTATTAAACTCATTATTTTTTCGCTCAGGCTTTTAATTACACCCACATTAGTTTATTGCTTCTTTGGTTTGAGAACTATAGTGCAAATACTTGCTTAATCCTTACTAAATTCAATCAGTATTGTTATCAGTCTAATTATTGCTCTACTTTTACCAACAAATTGCAGCTGTATTATATAAATTCACTAATTCGCAATGTGCCTTGTGCACATTTCGCCCACGATATCATGCATCATCATTTTCAGTGGTTCATGCCTACACAAATTTATAGTGGCCATGTGTTGTAGAAATTATTTCATACGGAGGACTTACGCAGCTCTGCATGCGGACTTCCAGTAATGCCTCAACGTGGAGGCTATTGAAGTGAAACCGCATAAATTATTGAGGGGTTATTGGGGTGTTATTATGAGGTTATTGCGGGGTTACACAAGAGACGGAGATTATTGTGGGGTTATTAGGGTATTATTATGAGGTTATTACGGAGTGTAACCGCGGAGGTTTATTGAGAGTTTATTGAGAGTGTAATAGCGGAGGTTATTAGGAGGTTATTGAGAGGTTATTGCGGCGTTATTAGAATTAAAGCTTCAATAACCCCCAATAACCCTCAATTATCATATTGATGTCATAAGGCAAGTTGATTGGGCATGTTTCCTCCGTTGCATTCAAAACATAAAAATTACTATAAGAGGAGTCTTATATGATCAAAAAGAGCAAGCACAGTGAATTTGTCGGACCATCGGTATGATATGTCGGACCATCGGTATGATATATGCAATTTGGACCTAAACTTCTCGACTGTCACCGAAAATTGCTCAAAGGACCCCCGATCATAAAACGGATTACGCAAGCGCATTTGAAATGTCAACTTTGCCTAGGGATGATACTCATATTGTTATGTTTTTGTACACGGGCAATTGATGCACAAATCGAGACTTTTGAATAAAAGAATATAATAATAATTTATAATAATTAATATTATTTTTAAAAGCCCTCTTGCCTCTGCAGCTTTCCTTGCAAGCCACCACCCAAACATTTCATGCCCATGCTTTTGCCCATGTCTTCACTTTCCTCCCCATCAAATGAGAGTATCCCACCTCATTTAAAATAATAATAAAAATAAAAAATAAAAGTTTTGTTTCTAAACTAAGCACTGGCCCGAGCCTCCTTCCCTTTTCAATCGCCAGTACAATCTCTCAGCTCCCACTCCTCGCGTGGGGGAGTCCTGCCTTACTCTTTCTTTCTCACGCACGAAAGCCCTCTCTTTGCTCCTACCCCAGCTCCAACCGCCGGCTCACCTTCTGCTCCGATTCAACTCGCACTCAGACTCCACCAAAGCCGGTGAAGGAGCTTGCAGCCGCCGCCTAAGCTGTAAGCTGCTGGAGCCTTAGGCCGTCAAAGCCTCCTTCCTCCTTTCTTGTACTTTACCCTCTCCAGTGACCATCCTTCTACGCATAACCTCTCACTCGATCTCTATAGCTTCCTCTTCTCTCGTGCAAGAGACGACAGCAGCAGCCCTACGCTGTTGTTCCCTCTTTGTTCACTGACCGCCCTATCCTGCACTACCAAAATTATCTTCTCCTACCACCCAGCCCACTTTCCTGTAACCAAACAGCTTCACTACTTCCTCATACCCGCAAACACAACAGCCCAATCTGCTCTCCCCTTTTTTCTCTCTGCTATCTCTATATCCTTGCTCACTTCAAGTGATAAGAGCGTTCAGCAAGGGAGACATAAGTACAGTGGAAGTTCTGGGTTCGGACTATTTAGTACTTTTATATTTTTAGTATCTTTTATTATTGGTATGTCATATTTCTCATTTTTTTCTTTTAGCATTATGAATGATATTATTGTTTTCCTAATATGGGCACCATTCTCCTCTATTTAAATTATAATTATTTTCTATGAAATTGAAGAGGAATAATAATATTTTTTTCTCCAGAAGTTACTCTCATAAATCTTGGAGCTATGTTATCACTTTAACAAGAGTTTTTGTGTTCAGCTTCAACCGACTATAACTCCTTCACAGCTCGATTCAATGCAGCATCATCATCCAGCATAGCTTGGTGACAAGTTTGATGCTGATGTTGCTCTCTTCATGTCCCTCTTGAAGGCCTGCCTTACATGACATCAGTTCTTTCATCTGCTTCTAGAGATTTTTTTTTCTTGGAAGAAATATTCTCAATTTCAACCATAATTCTGGCTAACCTATGATGATGCTGCATCATGGTTAAGTTTCTTGTGTCTAGGAAGCAGCCCATGCCATGGGGTAAACTTTTTTCTTTTTGCGCTGACATCAATCTTGATTGTCATATTTTAACAAGCCATTATCTTTTCTTCTAAAAACTACCTGAGTGCTTCTGTTAAAGTCGAGCTTGTTTTCCAAACTAGTTGCAAAAGTCCGTGCAACCTTTTAATCTGACAACACTTGGCATAAACATTATTACTTCTTTTTATATGTTTGTGTTCATCAAAGTTTACTTAACGATCTATTAGCTCATGGGTTACCAAGGTTCATCAAAGTTTACTTAACAAGCCGTTATCTTTTCTTCTAAAAACTACCTGAGTGCTTCTGTTAAAGTCGACCTTGTTTTCCAAACTAGTTGCAAAAGTCCGTGCAACCTTTTAATCTGACAACACTTGGCATAAACATTATTACTTCTTTTTATATGTTTGTGTTCATCAAAGTTTACTTAACGATCTATTAGCTCATGGGTTACCAAGGGCTTTCATTTTTCAAAGATGTCGTTCATCTATATGGCTCTATGGGTATGACTAAATTGCATTTTCTGGACTGCAATCTGGATGTCAAAACTATCCATGAGTACTTAGTTGTATTGGAATCTTCATTAGCTGTATATTTAAATATTGCTAAGCAGTTCAAAATAATACTGCCAACTGCACTTTTTTTGTCATGCCTGGGTGTTGATTTCTTTTGCACTAATAATTTAGCTACCAATATCTTTAGTATAGTTTTATTTTATTTACCATTTTATAGTTTATATTTCCAATTTTTTAGTTCTATCATGCTGTTCAATGTTGCATAATCTTGAATGTATGAACATTTTAACTACAGATTCGTCCAGACAGGCAGACATTATACTGGAGTGCAACATGGCCAAGGGAAGTGGAGGCGTTGGCACGAACCTTTTTATGTAATCCTTACAAGGTTAAGTCTGTCAAATGATCATTCACGGAAGTTCATGGTTTTGCTTTATACTTGCTGCTTGAATGCTTTAGAAGGTTTTTTTTTTTATACAAATTCTGTAGGTTATCATTGGATCACCTGATTTAAAAGCTAACCAATCGATAAATCAATTCGTTGAGGTTATATCAGATCATGAAAAATATCCCAGGTGATTAGCTATGATGTATTCTGCAAATTCAGTAGGCATAAATATTTACGATATTTTTAAGGAAGATTTACAGGAATACCATTCAATTCTTATGCATTTACATATCTAATGCGTAAACTTCAATTCTTACATATATACCACCTTACCTATGCATCAAAAGGTGTATTTCAATTTTTAAAAGCTAAAACAGCGGTGTTTTTGAAGTGATATGAAATAACTGGGTGGTGTAAGTGTAAAAATGAAACTTTAGGTGTCAGAAATGTACATAAAAATTGGGTAGTATATATGTAAATGCCCCTTTTTTTAATACAATGCCATGATCTTCTGTAGGCTCATAAAATTGTTGAGTGAATTGATGGATGGAAATCGTATACTCATTTTTCTTGAGACGAAGAAAGGTTGTGACCAGATTACTCGGCAACTTAGAACAAATGGATGGCCGGCTTTATCCATTCATGGTGATAAAGCCCAAGCTGAAAGAGATTGGGTTCTTGCAGAGTTTAAGAGCGGAAAGAGTCCTATAATGACTGCAACGGATGTTGCTGCTCGGGGTCTTGGTAGGGCTACCATGTTTTAGGAATATTAGGATCTCCCTCATTTGCTTTGAGTTCTCGAGGATATCAAATCGGCAGGCTGCTGGCCAGTTTCTGATTTAACTAACTAATGGTTTGGTGTTGCCTGGGAAGATGCCCATCTGCAAAAGGTAGCAACTTTGTTCTACTTTTTTTGCCTTCCCTAGTGTGAGCATCGGCAGTGTTACCAGTGCACTCTGTGGTTTCTAGTGCTCAGCACAATATCACTAAGCATGACTGCATAAAATATTTTTCGTGTTCAAGATTATATTCGATTGATTATTTGTTAAATTCTTTTATCAAAAATACTCCTACACTTGTGTCATCGGGTTTTATATGGTTTGTTTTTTGTAATTTTGCTGACAATAGCTCATAGGAATTTAAGGGATTCACCGTGGACTATAGTAAAGTGTCAACACCCGGGCGGTTGACAATAGCTCATAGTACTTTAAGCCATTTACATGCAAAGCATACAATTCTTATGTAGTTACATCTCATACCTAAACTTCAATATATATACACATATCAAATATTTAATTTCACATAAAAAATAGTAGTATTATCACTTTTCAACCATGAAATAAACCATTTTATGAATATGTTAAAAGTACCAAAGTGCTATGTATGTAAATATGAAAATTTTGGTGTGAGATATGTCATAAATACATAAGAATTGTGTGCTGTGTATGTAAATTTCTCCTTTTTTTTTTCTTTTAAAACTATCATGTCAATTGTTTAGCGTTGCAGTTTGAAATTTGTTAATGCTCTGATTTACTATTTGGAGAAGTGCAATTGAAATTCGCATTGCCATTATACTTCTTCTTAAGATGATGTGTGATCAAATTATTAGATAGATTTGAGTAAAGCTGATGATTATAAGAAATGTTGATGGGATGGGCCTGAAGGAAATAGTTTGTAGTTAGCTTATAAATTTAGCTTATTATGTTTTAAGGCCCACATTGAACAATGGTTGGTTCTATTGAGGTTATAGGTTCAAATCCGGAAAGCAAAGATAGTTAAGCCCGCATACCATACCTCTTTTTAGATCTTGTATTGATGGGAGCTTCAGACACGAGTATGGCCTTTTTGTTGATTTATTTATGCAGTGAATTATATCTAACATAGTATTCTCTATTTTATTTCATTACAATGATTTTATGATTTGGTTTTTTGCTTTCGGCTTGTCCTGCACATTGTGTGATGCTTAGACACTTGACCACTTGTGCTGTCAATCACTGGTATCACTGCCAACTAACATACCTACTTTGTCGAAGAGTGACAAACAACTTAACCTTTCATAATCGGTATGTTTGGTTCCCGTATTATTGGGATTGCTTGATGATTAAGGGCAATGTTACAAGGACATGAAGCATAAAAGTGGAGTAGTTATTGGTCACTTGCTTCCCTTATTTAGAATGTTTTAGCACATTAAGGCTCTATTTGGGACATTTTTCTGTCTGTTTTGCATTTCAGACCTCCACCACAGTATTAGATGGGGAATTGCTTTCTTGCAGTTTTCTAGAAACTACTGTTGTTTTTTGCAATCAGATATATGTTAAAATGTGATTGTTGTAAGAAAGTTTTTATGGAACTTATTTTGAAAAAATAAATATTTATACTTTCATTGTAGCTTCCTACGAAATTATTTTTCCCACCACAATTTTACAACCACATTTACAAAAAGCTATAGCAGCCCGAAGCGGACTCTTAAGGTATTGTCTAGGTAGCCTATTGGATAAAATGCTGGGGTATATCAGTAAAATTTATTGATTTCCGCCATTCATGTCTAGGTAACATGGCTTTAGAATTTTCGCCACCCATTAGATGTCATGAAGCTGGTTCAGTATGTTGCAGCCCTGTCGATTCTCAAAGCATCATGCCCTATTTAAGTCTATTTAATTAAGCCAATCCTAGACATTCTCCAATGTCTTGAACTTAATAGGATTTCACCAACCAATGATAAGTTGTACATTAGTAGAGCAAGACAATTCTCATGGTTCTATCCTTCAGGAGAGCAAACACAGGTTTGATTTTACTTCGTTTGATTTCTAATATGTTTTGTTGTCCCATGTTTGACAGATGTCAAGGATATAAAATGTGTTATCAATTATGATTTCCCGTCTAGCCTCGAAGATTATGTTCACAGGATTGGTCGAACTGGTCGTGCCGGAGCGAAGGGAACTGCTTTCACATTTTTCACCTCGTCAAATGCTCGATATGCGAGGGGTCTTGTAAAAATATTACAGGAGGCTGGCCAGAGTGTTTCTTCTGCACTTGCCGCCTTGGCAAGATCAGGCGGTGGTGCTATGGGTGGAGGTAATAAAACTTTGGAAGATTCACAAATATACCACTCAATTCTTTTGTATTTACACATCAAACACCTAAACTTTGCCTTTTACATTTATAGCACCCAAATCTTCTATATCACATGAAAAATACCATTATTTAAACTTTAAAAAAATGTGTGTAAAAATGAAATTCACATTTTCATGCATGGGTAAGACTGTGTATATATCTAAAAATTGAAGTTTAGGGTTATGTAAATACCGGAGAATTGAGTGATATGGTAGTAAATCAACTAAAATTTAATTTGAATATCGTACTTCAAAAGCTCATATATCTTCTCATCGTGATTTATGTAATAATGTGGTTTCAGGAGCAACGGGAAACTTCCGCTCTCGAGGGCGAGGCTTCGGTAATCGACAGCTAAGGTCCGGTTCAAATGCTATTCCAGTTGCTGGCAAGAAGCCCTGGTGAGCGGTGACACTGCATTGGATTGTTTGTCTGGAAAGTTTCAGTGTCTTCATGCTCCCAGGTAATTTAAATGAGGCAATTGTGCCGTTTTATTAGCAATTCATATTATGTTTGAAAAAGCTGGTGCTGCTACTTCACTTTAATACTTTCTTTCACTGGAAGCTTAAAATGCTTTAAAAGCTTATACTTTTTCATTAAGCCAGTTATTGATTTTGTATATTCTTGTTTTAGTATCTTTTGTAACATGATTTTTAATGCGTCTTACTGATAACTTAAACCTGACAGATGGATAAGAACTGATATATTGGTCTTTTTCATTTACTGTTTTGATATGATTTATTGTTATTCATTAGTTGAAGTAATTCAGTTGAATATTTTCAACTAGAAATATTGTTTTTTTTTCTTTTTTATAATTAATTCACTACTAATTGACATGATGTATATCTTGGGAATGACTTGTGCAATTAAAAAAATAGTCCAAGGCAAATATTGGATTCAGAAGTTGCCGGTAAAGGTTGAAAAATGGCATTATAGTCTGGACTGCAATTCAAATAAGTAAATAATGCCCTTGAAAGTGTTGAAGATGGTAAAAGAAAGGGTTACAATTTGCCAGTTGTATATGCCATAATCCTAAATACTAAATCCTTACCCCTAAAATTCTATTAAGATCTAGAGTTCCTTTAATTTGTCTTTGCCACAATTTCTCTTGGGGTTTTCAAAAAAGCTCCTAATTGAATCATTTGTTAAGCAAACGAGCTGATCACGGACAAAATTTTTAAGGTCAAATTATAAATGAGCTGAAAATGAATAACTTTTTGTTCAATGGCATATGGCTGGTTTTATTTAGAAATAAAGAAATTATATATATATATATATATATGTGATAACTCATGTTTGAGTGGTGAGGCGCCTTCTATTATGAAATAAGGATAGGTTCTACACCATGCAAATTCTAATTAATTTTGTTAATTAATTGAGCCAAACACAAGATAATTCGAACAAAAAGATACATATTGAGTTGAGCAGGAACAAACTTCTTTTGGGCCTAATTTGAATACGAGCCAATTTTGAGCACGAACGAATACAAATGAACTGAACATGAACATAGCCTTAACTCACTCAAGTTTGGCTTGTTTATACCCCTAACTTTTTTCTTTGGATATTTCTAAGTTGGAAAAAAGCATTATTATTCTTATCCCGTACATAAAATTTGTGTCATGTTCATGGGAAACTGTATGTACTATGTTCATATTTATTTTCTTTTTATATTCATTACTGTGTTGAAGAGATTCTTAAATGCGTTCCTCTCACTATGCATAAACTAAGATTAAGAAGAATATGATTAGAATATCAAATATGAGATTTCTCTTGTGGAATCCAAAATCAATCACTTATATTGCATATAAGGTAACTCTTTTTTAGTCATGGAGGAGAGCGGTCCTTGTCAATATGATCTATTTTTGAATTTATTCTTTTACTTTTAATAAGTATGATTTATGGGTAGAATTATTGATTGATATATATATATAATCCTTCAATCAAGCTCCAATGTATCGATGTTCTTCACTTCATGAGCTATGTTCATGTCAATTTATTTTGTACTCTATCTGGACAATATATAAAATTTGGGATCTCATTTATGGGAATCCTTGCAATGTTTGAGTATGTTGTTTTATGTGACAAACACATGATATTCTTTAGTAAAATGTGAAATAATAGTTTGTTATGCTCGAAAAGCAATCATGTTAAATGTAATAACTAATTTTTTGAAAAATTTTATCAAATTTGATAAAATTTTGATAAACCTTAAATTTTGGATATCTTGAATTTCAATCAAAATTATTTTATAAAATTCTGCGCGTTAAATTGAATATATTGACATAAAGCATTGTAAGTAAATTATGATCAGATTGGAAAATATAAAAGTTCAAACTTATAAGTTTACTAAATTAATTAAATTGAATTAATCCCAAATCCTAAATTAATATTGCAAATTCACTGTAGCCAACTGACCTTTCTCACAACTTTTATTCCATTCGATCGGTCGATTAGGGTAGGCGAGCTTCGATTCCTTCCTCTCTTCCTCAACCGCTTCTTCCTGGGCGAAGGAAGTTCGTTTGACTCCCTATAGCGAGGGTGCGGCTCTTGCTAGAGTGCAAGGACGGGAACATTCGTGGGCAACGCAAATTAAACGACACTTGGGTAGTCGCAACCTGCGAACCAAGGTTCCCGGGTGAAATTCAAGGGTATGAATTCCTCTCTCTCACACAATTCTAAGTTTTCATCTCATTCCCCAGCCTTCGGTCTTGACTTTTGTCTCGTTTTTCATGCATTTTTCCTTTATGGTAGTCGTCGGCGGTGTCGATTGTGTGCTGAAGCCTTGAAAGTCATTTGCGAGCTTCTATAGGAGTTATGTCACGATATCAGCATAGGAGAGATGTGGTTGGAGGTGATAGAGTAAATTTGACAGCTTTGGAAAAACAGATATGTGTTGAGAAGCCTATTTGAGATAAAATATTACTTTTTTTGGTTTAATTAGATTATGAGTCAAGATATCATTAAGTCCTAAGTTAATTATGCATTCCTGGCAAGCATGTAGAAGATCATCACAGGTTAATAATATGTTAATTAAGAAGAAAAATTTAATTTATGAAAATCACTTGAATCGTGAAGTTTAATATTACAATTTATAGGTTATTGAACTCCATACATATGTCACAACAATCTCCAGCTTGCTATCAAAGATTGAGGTCTTAGCGTGGCAACTGAGGCAAGTAATTATGTTTTTAAATTTCAGTAATCTTATATATTTCATATTATATATTTGACTCCATGTACACCCTAATTTAATCAGGTTTTTCATATTGTTAGATATGAAAGATATGCATAGTGGGAAAATGTGTGCATGTTTGAAAGATATGCATGAGATGAATGATATTTATATAGACATTATATGTAATATAAACATGTAAGATAGACACTTAGAAAAGATATGCATGAGATTAATACATGCATGATGAAGAACTGCACATTAGAGAAAATTGCATGTTAGTAGATTGCATAGAAATGTTTCAAAAGAATGTATGTATAAACAATGAAATAACTTATATATGAATGATTGTATATGTATGTTCAGAAGAGGATTTTAGCCTTTAATGATACATTGAGGCCAGCGTACCCTTGCGCGTAAAGTTTTTCTACCTTCTCAAATAATTAGATTGTTAGTTTACTAAGCGCTGTGTCGACGGGATAATATCGGTCAGTGGCGATTAGACCAGAGTTTACCTTCCCAGACAATTGTAAGATTTATATTCCTAACCACTGTGCCGACGTGATAATATTAGTCAGAATCAGGTAAGGGTTTTTCGAACCTAGATAATTGCGAAGTGTTGATCGCTAACCGCTATGCCGACGAGAGCCAACGATATCAGCCAAGGGTGTTTAGGCTTTGTTGACGGTGAACCTCACAGAAATAAATGTAAGGAATATATAGTAAAAGTACAGTTAAAGTAAATGCTTATAGAAGATTGAGTATTTCATTTAGAACAAATCATTTATATATGCATTAGCATATATAAGATTACTTACGAACAAATATCATATTGCTTATTAGTATGTATCAAATTGCTTATAAAAAAAATATAAAAGATCAGTGTATTATAAGATTTCTTATAGACTCACAAACATATTATATTATTTTCTTGTATTATTGTAGTTTAGTAGTGTAATTACTCATTGGTTCTCTTTAGATAACTCATTTTGTTGCTTTAGTATTATTTTAATGTTTTAAATATTTGAACAAGATGACCAAGAGAGGAGCAAATGTATACAGAAGATAAGAACAACAAAAAAGAAAAGTACAAATCTTTACATATTAATTTTTATTGTTTTTAGTGGCTATTTTATGTATTTTTTAACATTAAATTTTTAGTAATAGAAATATAATAACAGTGTTATACCTTCCACCGTTTGATCGTCCGTTCTCGTCTTAGTTAATTTGAAGCCTCAGGCTAGGTTGTGACATTAAATGCTCATGATAGTTGCTTTATACATATTAATGATTCTTTGTACAAAAAAAAAAAGAGAATTGGATAACATGTACATGAGGCATGTGATTGATCAAAAAGAAGTAAGCCATTTTTATACCTCTTGAGCTAAATATTCTTCTCTCAAAGTTGATGATGGATAAGTATGATTGATGGGATTTTAAGTTTCATCATTTGGAGAAAGTGCCAAATTCTCCCTCGGGGATTTATTCCTAGCATACAAAGTCATATACTCTATTCTTTGTTTTGTTTTGGGCTTGGTAATCACTCGAATCCACTATATTGGGATTCTTCATTATGTGACAAGCATTTGGAGACGCTATCATTTTGATTGACGTCTACAATCATTGAAGTCTTTAGTCTTAATGGGAAGTAATGATATAATGTGTAGCGAACATCTTTTTGTTCACCCTATGAAACAATTTTTACTTATATTAATGGACATTCAATAGTACATATTTTGAAGTGGGGTGTATCAAATTTTTATCGAAAACATAATTATTTTCATTAAAATAAAGTTCTTTAACTATATAACTAAGTTTCTTTTTCCTTATATTCTATATATATATATATATATATATATATATATATTTGCATATTCCATGCTACTTTTTATCCTCTAGCTTCATTGATATTAAATTATTATGAAAAGTATTTAACACTTCAAATTATGATTTTTCATTCATTAATTGAGTAACCATAATTTTAAATGATGCTTGAAATCTTATAATACATGTTTGTCAACATCTGCTATTAAAGCATATTGTTTATTAATTATTCACTTGGGCATTTTTTAGAGTGTAAGCTTTCATTAATCCCCTTTAATTGAAATAAATAATGGAATTATAATGTGTATGAAAATGCTTATTATGTTGCTCTAATAAAGACATTAAGCTTATTTGATGCTCATTTGTAAGAATGCAAATTTGAGAAATTATTCCACTTCATCAATAAGCTCAAACCAATGGTTTATCGGTTCATAATCATTGTTTGTTTTATCATTACAAAAACATATGATAATTCATTTAAGTGCGAAGAATCCTCCAAAATACTTACAAGTTAGATGATGAAAAATAAAAGATTTTGAATAATTAAAGATAACATATTTAGTATTTTTAGCATCTATGTTTTTATGATAGAAATCAGATTTTTTCCTTTTTTTGAAGTCTCATTATATCATATATACTCATATATACTTTTTCTT